ACAAACTATGGTGTTAAATTGTTAAATTGATATGTTAGCTGGTTGAGCACTCTGTCAGTGGTTGTCAACACTATAAATTAATTTAAAGTCATAGATTGCTTTGAGGTTTATTTATTCAATATAAAGTATAAATTGAATTAAAATTTTACAAGTAATTAAATAAGGCTGATGTAGTTAAAGTCAGCATTTTGGGCATCAAATTTTCTTTGTGTATTTTTTCTTTATACTTTATGCTTAACAAATGTATTAGAAAACCACCCGATGTACGGTTCATTCAACCACTGCTCTAAATTAGAAGAAGAACTACCAATACTTGTAATTACCAGTATGCGCAAGCTCTTTAGTCAAAATGATCTTTTTAATGTTAAAATGTAATTACTGTTGTTATCCATGAAATTTTAAATTCACTGGGTTTCTTTTTTTAAAGCTGAAAAAAATAATATAGCACACTGTTATTTTTGATTAAATGTCAAATTACAGTTATTCACTTGCATTCCTGAATAGTATAATTCGTTTTAGTTATTGAATGTTTTTGAATGAGGTCGCAGGTGCAAGTGGTGGAAATTAGTTTGATTCAAAGGGTGGCTGGGCTCTCCCTTACAGATCATTTGAGAAGGACTTATAGTAGAGGTGCTGCTCCTCCACATCGAATAGCGCCAGTTGAGGTGGTTTAAGCAGGATGGTTCCTAAATGCATCCTTGGCACGTTGTTTCGGGCATGTCCTGCTGGTAGGAGACCTGTTAGGTGAGTCTGAGCTGGAAGAGAGGGTGAGGGAATTCTGAACTTCTCTGCTTAGACCGCTGCCCCCGTGACCTGAACCTGGATAAGCAGCAGAATGGATAGATGGATGAATGTTACACTTAATTAATTTTGGACTTCTCAGAGGAGTCCAGTGTTAGGTTTATATTGTCGGATTGTCATTTATGCTTAGAAATATATACTCATATATGCTTAGAGTTATATAATTGATTGCATATTGATTGGATGTCTGATCCTTAGCTGTCTGCAAAGACTCCGTGTGCCTTCCAGAGGGTTCTGGCATACACACACATCCTAAGGTCATGAGAGAGGTCGTACCTTCTCTTACTGATTTATGGTATAGAAGGACACCTACTCTGTATCTGTTTTAGTATAAGAGCCCTTTATTTAGGTGGACCGCTGGACTCCTGGTAACAGCAGGCCTGGGGAGTCTTCACAGGGTCACATCTTGACCCTGTGTATGCATGCCTATACGTACACGCAGACAAGGTATGCCCGTGTAAGATGTGTTAATGAATCTTTGCATATTCATTAACCACAATAAAGAGCAGTGCTACGGGGAGCTAACTGAGAGTGACTGGGGTTCGAGCGGAAGGAATGGTGCTTGTCACGGTTCTCTCCCTCGTGCAGGAGGTTACCCAAAGACTTCAGCCTGGTGTCTAATGCTTTTGCTGTTGTAGTAGAATTGTCTTGGCGTTCGAGCAATGGGTTTATGCTAGATGAACCTTTGCATGCCGGCTTAAATTTGGGTTTAAATTCACTTTGTCATTTGTATAATAAATAAGAGTAGAATTTTTTTTTTTTATAAATACTTGTGTTTTCTATTAGTGACTGGGGATCTAAGACAGTGTTTCCCAACCTTTTGGAGCCACGGCACATATTTCACATTAGAAAAATCACACGGCACACGACCAAACAAAAATGCCACAAAAAGCATATTGATCATTTTTCCCCACGCACCACATATAGTGGAATTGACTCGGTTTGTCCCCAGTGTACCTTTCTGTGCTTTCTTCTGACCACACTCATGCTTTTTCTTTTCAAATAACTATCTATTGCAGTGGTTCTTAACCTTGTTGGAGGTACCGAACCCCACCAGTTTCATATGCACATTCACTGAACTCCTCTTCAGTGAAAAATAAAATAGGATTTTTTTCAAATTCAAGACATACATATGTTTTTTACTGGTGCACAAAATGAGGCGTGCATATCACGGCGGAGGCTCTGACGAACCCCTGGGGTTCGATCAAACCCAGGTTAAGAACCACTGATCTATTGCTATTACGCGCTGTCGTCTCACAGCATGACTAGTTTGTAATTTTTTTCTTCATCTTCTTCTGTTTTACTGACAGTTGGCATCCCATTTAATTAGAGCAATTGGTTGTAGTGCCCTCTAGTGGAAGAGAATGTAATTGTTAGAGTGCTAATCCGGTGGAACCAGATAGTCTTCCGTGCTTTCTGTGCTGCAGGACAGTGGTGGGGAAACACTGGTCTAATAAACTTGTTAAGCATTGTATGTACTGTTAAGGCAGTTAGATGTTCGTATTAACATGGTTATTGTTCCTTATCTTCATCTTCCTTTAAAGTGCACCACACCACCATTTACCAGACAAGATTGTAAGTGGTTTATGTCATTATTGTGCTGCAAACAGAAAGTGAAAATGTGCTTCAGACGTGGCTAGATTTAAATTCTATTCTTTCAGTAAATCACTGACATAGAGTCGGTCCAGTCAATCAGGAGAACTCGGGTCAGCAGATAAACTCTGGCTCCAGTTTAAAGTGCGACTACATCTGATCTTTCAGGATCAGCGTCTCTGCCAACCAGAAGATCATTGCTCTGCCACACGACAATCGACAAGTACGCCTGTTTGACATGAGCGGGGTGAGGCTGGCCAGACTTCCACGCAGCAACAGAATGGTAAGAGCAGAATAACCTGGACGGGAAGGCGGTTGTTAGCTCAGCATCAGTTACCATAAACTAAAACCTGTGTGTGTTTGTGTGCATGCAGGGTCACAGGCGAATGGTGTGCTGCACGGCGTGGAATGAAGAAAACCAGTCGTGCAACCTGTTCACGTGCGGCTTCGACCGGCAGGCTATCGGCTGGAACATCAACATCCCCGCCCTGCTGCAGGAGAAGTGATCAGAGTCCCTCCGTGTATAGACGGCGCAGCACACGTCTGCACTGTAACCCGTGGCCTCGCACACGCGTGTTTCCTCTGTCGAGCAGTTTGGTTGTCGTGTGCTTCGCAGCTTTCCAGCAGTGAGCTACAAGTTCAGACAATAATTGCTCCTCAATTACTCTCACATAAAAGCCTTTTCAGGTCATCTGAACACGCGTGTACGAGGCCACACAGCCGACCTTCTGCGTCTGACCCTTCACTTATTTAGCATGGATCGTGAATTGTGACAAGGCTCGTCCGATCTGTCCGCCCCCAGCCTCCTCTATATATTTCTGACCCGTGTGCCGCGGGGCTGCCGATCACGGCACTGTTGTTTAGTTACTGCTGAATCGTCGCTCTTGCATGTAGATAAACTCAGTTTGCAAATGTTACTTGTAAAGTCACAAGAGAATAGAACCGTTTGTAGAATATGATGTGTAAATAATATATTGTGGCCTGTTTAAAGTGACCTGTGTCGCAGGTTGTTGTTAGCTAATGTGTCTTACAGTTTGGCAGAGACAGTTCTGTGATTCTTTTATTTTATTTTATCCTTTTGGTCAAATATTTGGAAGATTTCTTATCGCAGAAACATATCACAAATCTCCGTCATATCACCTGTGCAGCGAGCGGGCTGCCGGGCCAGTCGGTGAGCGCTTCAAATGGCGTCTGAGGCGTTGTGGGAAGCTTTTGACAGATTGAGATTCGCTCCCTTGCCTGTTACCTTTGATGCTTTCAGTTTCACAGCCAGCCTCCATATTTCCAGTATAGTTGAAACTGTAATTCTGCCTTGTTCCGTGTTTACAGTGGATTTTTATTTTTTTTTAAACATGTTGCTTTTTTCTGCCTTTTCTGTGAGGATGTAAAGTGTCAAGAGCATAGCAATAATGACTCTCTGTGAACGGGAATGTGTTGTGCATTATCATATTCCATTATTCCCTACGTGCTGCTGGTGTCCATAAGCTCAGTATAGACTCGTCCTCTTTAGCTTGCTGCCAGCCCTGCGTTGCTGTACTGTGTGATCCTTAAGTGAACTTGTCAGGTCATTTCTGTGCTTCAGTAGCGCTCCTGTCAACATGCTCTCGCAGTTTGTGTTGAGCCCTCAGTCTTCTATAACTTCCTGCATCTTTGTCGCTGACGGCGCTTTTACTCTCTGCACGGAGCGCTCTTTATCCAAAAACAGAAGCAATAACCCAGCTTGACTTGATGTTTCTGGTGCTCGGAGTGAAGTCCGGGTCTTTCTTTTTTGTTTTCTTCCATTTTTGAAATCAGTGACTATAACTTGAAATACACACTGAATCTCAGTTTGACTTCTGACTTGCCCTGAAATAGGCTTAACTGGATTCCAGGAAGCTTCAATTGTTACACTTGTGCAATATTTTAAACATGAAGTCATGCTGTAGTTTCTCACACGTTTAATCGACTTCAGTGCTGTAAAACCCACACAAAAGACTCTGTGTACCTGTGTGACTGCTGTAGCTGTAGCTCGGTGTATAAAGGTGACTTACTGAAAAATCTGGCTTCAGACTTCACTGCTGTTTCTACCCACAACACAAACGGGATGCATTCTGAAGTAGCATGAACCTGAAAGTGTAATAATCTTATTGAAATGCCTTACATTGCATTGAGGAGAAAAAACCCGGTGCATGGGCCTTATCCATCCAAGCATCAGTGCACTTTTCCAAATGCTTGTTAAAGAACTAATTGTGTTCCCGAGCGCAGCAAAGATAGGATTTTTATTCCTGTTTCATTCAGGGAACTCAATTTGGCGCCCACCGGTATCAATGTCATTTTAATCTGCAGGTAGAACGGCACGGCCCGATTCGTGCCCCGCTTATGAATTTCAACCTGGAGGAAATATGATTTTGGATTGATACATTAAATTATTGCGTGCCAGGCTGTAGGGGTAAAAAAAAAAAGAAGAGTGGATGGGCTTTGCTTCACTGTAGCGAATCATATTCACCTGAAACTTCATTATGTGATCTACTTTGCATACTTTATTGTGACGGGTACGTGCTCTCTTGACACTTTCCAATAAAACGTGTGATTTCCTTTTTCCAGTCTCACATCTCTTTTTCATCCTATTCAAACACAAGTCCCTTGTTCCCTTTTGTTCACTTCAGATGTGTTTTTGAAAGGCACACTTTATTTATCAGGTAGCTTTGAAAAACAATGTAAAAATGGTGTTGATGAGAACAGATTTAAGAGGTGTGTGGATTTAATGAGACTTTTAATTTGCTTGTTAACTCGTTCTTAAAGGAAGCCACAGCGATGCACAGAGCAGACAGGCAGCTACTTTATTTCTTAGTGTTCAACAACTTCTTCTATTTCTCTTTTTCGCTAATGTCCAAGAACATAAAAAGGATCCGTCTGCTTCTTTTGCTTCCCCAGCTCAACAAGGGGCTTGGCTCAGCATGCCCAGACACCACCTCCTTAACTATATAAAGAAAGAACCAATCAGGAGGCTATTGGAAATCAGAAAATGTTATCAGTGATAACACCAAAGCAAAAAAGCTTGGGATTTGATTAAAAATTCAACAAGTTATAATGATTTAAGTATATCTCCAACTAGTAACAATGTGGCAGCCTCTCTGAAGCACACAGTTCATAAATAAATATGTTTTCATCTACTGAGTTAAGACAACGTTCACCTTAATACAGTAAATAATATTGGAAACCTGGAAAAGAGCATTTTTATGCTTGTGGGTCCCTCATCTTGAAATCAGTGATTTTCTGATTTGATCCCTGAAATAAAGTCTGTGGATAACACAAACTAAAAATTTTCATATGAAGCTTTCATGTTTTTGCAGATATTAAAGGTTGGGAATACTGAGGTCGCGGGGCTGGTTTAGTAAGTCTGGACAATAACACTTGAAAAAATAAAATAAAAGTGGCATCATTTTGTGAAGATTGTTTTTCTGAACTAAACAGGCAAGTGCGAAAAACTAGTTTCCCACATACTCGCAGACACTCATATCTGCAGTAGACTAAACTATGAGACACAGTTAGCTTAAAACTGCCACACCTCTGATCATACACTCATTATGGTCTAGTGTTCAACTTGAAGAAATTAAGTTTGCGCGGTTTCCACTGCTCACAAGTTCAGTTTCCTCTGTAATATTTGTTTCTTCATAAACGTTTCAGTGGATGATGTTACCATTAGCTTTCGCCCTCC